GGGGGAAATGGGGGAAGGCAGAAGAGGGGGGGGGGGGGGGGGAACGTAAACCACCGAATTAAATTGGTCTGGCCTTAACGATATTACTTTAATTGTTATTTTTAAATTAAGTATTCGATGTTGTTCTTTTGAACTATTAAAAATAGCAACATTCTCTTTCTAATTTTGAAGACGAATTTATTTATGGTGTTTAGCATACTATATAAATTAATATATTACTAGAATATCATAGTTTATTATACATTTTAAAATATTACGATACCGATACTAAAAATTTTTTAAAAAGAGTGCACATGATATTAACGTAATATAAGTGAAGCAAAATCATGTGATTTAGTGTCAGGGTAGTGATCCCAGCTATAATTAAAAAATCGGCTAAGCCGATTTTTCGACTGGTTGGTTGATTTTTCTAAAATCGGCTAGCGAATTATAAAGTTATTTCTTTTTTCATTATTGCTCGCCTTGTAGTGGATGCCGGCTCTATCTCCACACTCCTCTTGCCTGTCTCTCAGTAACCTGTAAACTAAGGAAAGTATATTGATGTTCTTAAGATTCGCAATTAACTTTGAATGATATTGTGTTACGAATTGTAATATAAAAAGAAATTTATTTTGTCGGAACTAAAAATTTTTCAGCTAAGCAGACTAAGCCGATAAAATTTCATCGGCTTGGTCAGTCGAAAAATTTTGGTCGGCTAAGTTCACTAGTCCATTATAGTACACTTCGATTTTAATTGGATTTATAGACAAATCTGCATTCATGAACCAAATTAACAATTCGTTAAATCTATAAAAGGTTGTTGAGTTTTAAAATATACTCCCGATTTAAATAACGAAAAGAACAAGTCTGCTCAAATACAGCCCATGTGAGTGAATGAGTTGAAATATGTGAAAAAAAATCGTATACAGTTTTCTATACCGAATTTAATAAGTTTGTTAAAGTATTTTTTTTAGTGTTTGTTCGTTATAAAAAGGTTAGATATGAAGATAGTAAAGATAGTTAACTGCATAGACAAATGAATTCAGTCGACTTATCACGTGACTACACCCTCGAGGTTGTTCTCGATTGTTGGATTTGCACCCTTGGATTTAGTTTTAAATTAAATGTCATTCGTACAATTTAAGTTTCACTACAGTACATTTTTTAATTATTAATTCAGTATCCAAGATCACAAAAGCTTGGCATTTGCATGTGCTTAAATTATTCATTTATGATTATTGTTATTTTAGGAAAAAAAAGGAAATCAAAAAGCTCTTGCCTCACATAAAAAAAAAAAATCGAAAAATAATAAATAAATGCTAAACTAACTTAATATACTTTAGTCAAAAATCATGTTACTGCGCTCTCGATTATCGGTTTCGTTGACTTTTCAATATCGTATCTAAGGTGTGAGCGAAATGTCGTAAGGCGAGACCAACTTAATACGGTGTTTACGTTACACCCTCAAAAAATTGTTCAGTGATTATATAAAAATTTTCCAAATAGCCCGTAGCCCTATATATATTTATCTAATTTTTTTTACCATGAGGGAGAGGGGGGACGCTGGGGTGGGGGTAATGTAAAACACAGAATGAAGTTGGTCTCGCCTAATTGGTCGTATTTATTTTTACAAAAACTCGATTATATCGTGACCCAGTAATCCAAACTAGATAATTTTGATACCATTCGATTCGTTTCGAAGATACAAATCGAATGGTACCAAAATAATCCAATTCGAATCACTGGATCACAAGATATTCGAAAAAAAAACGATTTAATGAATTGCGTCACAATGCCGTAATTCGTTGAATTTTTTTTGCGAATATCCTGTGATCCAGTGATCTGAATTGAAAGATTTTGGTACTAGGATATGATTGAGTTTTCGTAAAAACAAATACGACTAATTACGGCATTGTGCTCACACCAGCATATTGATTATTTAACGTTTATATACTTTTTTTCCTAGAAAAATAAATATATTTTATTTAATGAAAATTTATTTCGTGAACTTCAATAAAATTTTTTGCCTTTTATGATAATGGGGGTAATATCAGGATTATGTAAAGAATTAAAAAAAAATCTTTAAAAAATCAAAATACATATTATCAAAAAAATAATAATAATAATTAAATAAGGAATTTTTAACAGATAAACTGAATTCTTTTTTTTTCTTTTTGTGAACTTAAAGGCAATATAATATTAAAGTATGAATTTGATGTCCTTTTTAGTTTGTAAATGTGAAGACATGTTTTATAACATTAAGCGTAATGTCAAAAAAATTTAACGAACTTGAATTATAATAAATAAGTTTAATATTAAAAGTCGGCCCAAGTTATTCTTTAATCGATAAAATCTTACACAGAACATATAATAACCGAAGAGAAATAATCAAAGCTTTACGAATTTCTATTCTATTAAAATCTAATGTTCTTAGTGTTATCAAGACATCAAAATATTTTTGCGAACATAATATTTAAAGATTATGTTCTCATTTGAGAAACAATTTGTAAATTGTAATCTTCAAGAACCTTTGAGGGTTTCCGAGAACCTGAAATTTAAAAACTTATGTTCTCAGAGAACAAAAAAAAATGTTCAGGTATTTTCTCACTGAAATCAACATTCAAGTTCGTATTATTAAAAAATTATATGATCTTGTTTGTGAATTAATTGTCAGCAAAATAAGCTTATCTGTAAATTAATTGTCAGCAAAATAGGCTTGTCTGAAATTAATTGTCGATGGTTAAGTTATCAGTGAAGTGATTTTGAGTAAAATAATATAGATCCCATTTAAAAAGTTACGTATTCCTTAAGATCGCAGCAAATCACCAAATTCACATGTTCTGACTCAAGATGATAACTCAAGTCAAATTTAGACGATGCAAAATTCTCTGTTTATTTTTCAATTTGAAAATGACACACGTCAACTCTTAAGCAACATAAATCGTGAAATGACGTGGAAACCTTTGTTAATTAATTTTAGTAAAACAAAAAAAAAAGTGGCATTTATTCCCAAGCATTAAGTTCTAATAGTTATATTATATTATATAAGTGTACATTGCAACAAATATTCTTAAAAACGTTCATATTAAGGGTTAATCATTTTACAAACGGAAAATGTAACCCGTTAAAAATTTTCAAATTAGAGCTTTTTCTAGGATTATAAATTTCAAGCAAAATGAACCATTACTGCTGCTACTACAATAAGGCTAAACAGAAGTTTGTATCCAGAAATGCTTGATCCAGTAAGACTTGCAGCACTGGCTGCTGGTGGCGTAGGTGTCGATGTTGATTTCCTAAAAAATATATATAGCATGGTTAAAATTGATTGCTTATATGCTTTAAAACTTGTGCATAAATAGTAAATACTTACGCAGGTGAACTTTCAGTGTTCGCAGGTGATTTAGGGGATGGTTGAGGTTGAGATGGTGGTTGAGGTGGAGGTTGAGCAGCTGCAGAAGTTGCGGCAGGTGCAGCAGCAGGGGAACTGGCAGCAGGTGCACCAGATGCTGCTGGAGGTGCAGCGGCTGCGGTGCCAGAAGCAGCGGGTGCAGGGGGTGCACCGGCTTGGAAGACAGTGAAAGTTCCAGAATATTTATCACCAGACCCGTCATTGAGAGCAAGGTAATAAGTTCCAGCTGGAACATTGACAGTCCATCGGAAAGATTGAGTAGAGAGAGTTATATTACTGCTAATTACAACAGTGTTCTTAGTCGTGTTGTCGATAACACTTAGAGTTCCTGGAAGTGGATTCGGTTGTGTTGTGTATGTCCAGGTGATTGTAATAGTGGCACCATTTGCAACACTACCGCCAGGCGTGTTAATTGATTGAACCTCTGAAAACATAGATATAATGTTAAAAATTATTTAATTTATTTAATTCGAATTAATTATCGTCTTTTATCCCTTTTGAATATTATTCATATATTTTATATTTTTATTTTTTATTTATTTTTATTCTGATTTTTTTGCTTATGATTACTTATAAATAGCTGAATTTTCTAATTCATGAAATTTATATTCCAAATAAGCTAGGTAAACCAAATTACATCTCTCGTCGACTTGTAATAATAATTATAACTCTTTTACTAAACTCATTTTAAATAACGTACAAAAAGAAAAACGAATAACTTACGGGCTAAAGTAGACCCAATAAAGGCCAGGAATAGAGTGAGGAAATAAATGAATCGTGACATAGTTACTTATGTCCGGGTTAGATAATTTTTAGCCTTAGGTGTTCGTTTTCTGTGGCAAATGATTATGAGAAACGAAAAAAGTGAATGACTTTTTCTTTTTATAGTTCTAGGAAGTGGGTGACCTGAATGAATTTCGAGTAATAAAACAATAACGTTCGTTGCACAACAATATAAATATAAACATTAACATAAATAAATAATATAAATATAATAAATGATGCAACGTAACTTAAGAAATCGAATTCAAACGTGATACGTATTGCATGATCAATGCATTGAACATGTACGACGATGGAATAAACGTGAAGTCTAATAGTAACGTTACTATCCTTTGTCACTAAGGATAATAAGTAAATTCTGGTTGTTTTACGACTTTATTTCCATAAAAAGTAATTGTATTTGAAGAAAAAAGAATTTGGCATATCAGATAAACGATAGTTACAACACGCTAAAAATAGTTCATATTCAGCCCACAAGTTAACCAAAAGGTTATACATATTTGTCACGCTTACTGAATTAGGCCATTGCCTGGATCGTCGAAAATTCGATCCTTTCCTGATTGTCCGAGACTTTTCGACATCATGATTAATATAGTCAATGCGTTCGTATGGAAACATTATTATTGCTTGATCAGAAACTTTATTATAAATTGAAGAAGAAACATATGGGAATAGGCTCGCTATCTCTAGCCGACTTTAATTCTGGTTACCATAATATAAACAAATAATAATAACAACGTATACGCTTTAATTATTCTCCTTAAAGGATTTACATAGCATGTTCCAAGAATCGGTTTATTGGTAATTTGTCGGTTTATAGTAAGTACTCGAAAATGAGTTTATTTGTTATGCGAGGTCATTGCATTGTTACTGCGAAACGTACGTACCTTCTTATTAAGGGGTCTTGTACTGTCAATGTAACCTATCAACGGTATCTCCCTCTATATCTATTAATGGGGATCGTCTAAAGCCAGGTAGTTTTAAATTGATTAATAAATTTGTAAAGTAAAAGTCACGTGAGGCATATAAATTATTGCTTTGTTTTAGACGCTTATTATAGGGATATTAACGGTCCAGTCAAGTATTAACTAGTCTATTTGATCCAAGTTTTGTCCGGTTTGTTATGGTCTACTGTATACCGATGCAGTAGTCTTAATATTAAGTGTTAATTAGACCGACCGGTCCAGACTGGTCTGGGACTAAGAGCAGACTAATTTTCTAGTCCGGACTAGTCTTAAGACTAACTGTGGTCTATTAGTCCAGCCAGACCATATAACATCCCTACTTCTTAAAAGGATGATCACAATTCGATAAGTCACAACTCGACTCGGCTCGTGACTTGGTTACACTTTCGAATGAGCCGAATGGGATGAATCGACCCAATGTTCGATTTTATTAAAAAGTTCCTGGAAATTCCATTGCCTCAATTGAGAGTCCGAACCAACTCGCTCAAGTTTTGATTGAGTCGACTCGAGTCGACTCAAACTGTGCTCATACCTATGAACAATGATCAATTAATCAAGACTGATAAACAAACCGAGTGGGTAGTAACGACCAGAGAACAGAAAAATACGTATTCATCAGGATAGATTAGTGGAGCAACCAAAATTCAGAAGATCGACCAAAATTTAGGGTAGGAATAGGCCCGGAGCTAGGCCGGCATTAAGAAATAATAATAGCTAACTATATCACAGCAAAATTATCATCTGGGCAGCTTTACTTAGTACGTGGGCTACCATTTCATTAGTAAAATTTTTGGGAGAGATTTATCAATTCCGGCCTATTCCGCCCTAAATTTTGGTCGATCTGCTGGCTCCACTAATGTATCCTATTCATCACCATAATACATCAACCACTCCAACTGATTATTTTCCCACACCACAGACCGCATGCAAAAGCTCAGCCTGTGATTGCCTTTTATCATTTTCCTTAATTCATTTTCATATGTCATTCAACGCCACCCTTAAAATACACCTAACCTATAAAAGGATAGGATATACATATAATGTATGATCCTCTGATTTCCAATAATGATAATATCACTTCTTTAAACAAGCATACCAGGTATTGATAAAATGTTCTTCTTTTGAGGTATAACATAACATTAGGGCTATTACCTGGATCGAAAAATAATGAACCATGACCTAGGTCAACCCCAGATTATGCCCACGTCAATGCTTGTTGTGATATATTTCTATATGATAAATATTTAATTGGAACTTTCCAGATTTTGGTTCCGTTAGAAATTACTCTGGTCTGAATCAGTATTAAATATCTGAATTGTTTTTTTTTTTGGAATAAATTGATAATTTTATGTTCTCATAACCACTTTAATGTTCTTAATGATTAAAAAAAAAAGAAGAAAAGAAAAATTATATATTTTCTATATATTTTCTATATATATGAGGACATAAATTATAAATTTTATGTTCTTGGTTTTCAAAAAAAAGCATAATTTTCAAGCCAATTTTTGATTGGTGATCTGGCCTGTCAATAAGCTGACTCGGGTGACAGTTTATCATTCATAACATAACGATAAAATATGCATTAAAAATAGATTGTGATGTAATATTGTACTACATTTTCCACGAATTGTTTGATTTTTATTTAATTTTATTTATAATTTGTCATTTTGTAAAAAAACCTGTTATCTTATCGATAGAGCTGTCTAATAATAATTAATTAAAAAATTCGCCAATGCGCCTGAGGTAATTATTTTTAAATACTGTATATCTTAAATTAGTAAAGTAAATAAATAAATCATTATTTTACTCTGGAGTACATATATAATTCTATACATAGTGATAGTAAAGATGTTTACGGATGAAACAAAAGTTGTGCACACGAAATACATAGGCATGGAATAAAACATTTAGTAAATCATTGCATCTAAGATTATTTTGCATCGCAGCAAAATTATAGTAAAAGTCAATCATACAGATTTTTTTGTGCACAATTTAATTAACAAAATTGTTACTAATCAATAAAAAATTGGTTTAGTTCGTCTATTAAATATTAGCACAGCAAATATTTCAATATAATTTATATTTATAAACTGCTTATGTACAGTTAGACCTCTCTAAATGCACCCTCTATAAGTGCTCTCTCTTTCTAAATGCTCGCTCAGATTCCGGCCCAAATATATATTTGACCTCTATAAATGCAATTTTTTTCTTATTATTCTCTAAATGCATGTTGCTAAAGTGTCCTAAGGGCGTGCACTTAGAGAGGTCTGGCTGTAGCTACAAATTTAATACGTAAAATTTATTTGGCCTGTGTTATAAACTAGTTTTAAAATCATGGTTTAAAGCTGTTATTGCTGATCTAGATATGGAATTGTGGATTTACAAGCCTATTAGATTTAAACTAGAAAAATGGGATCTTTGAATTCCGGAGCAGCACCTCACTCTTTGCGATATGATCAATCTTGATGCTTAAGAGCTCTTTTGAATTCTATAATTTCATAACATTCAAAAGAGCCCTTAAACACCAAAATTGATTACTTCGTTGCCAAGATATTAATGCTATAGTTTGTTAAAAAATTAAATAAAAATTTGTTTTTACCAAATTTCTATCAATAATATCTCAGCAATGAAGTAATCAATTTCAATATTTAAGGACACTTTTGAATTCTACAAAGCTGTAGAATTTAAAGAGTCTTAATATATCAAAATTGAACACAACATTGTCGAAATATGTGCATTTAAGTTTTTAGATAAATTTCTAACCAATATGTCCCAATCATCAGATCTATTTATATGTTTGAATAAGGATATCTTGACAACAACTTGATCAATTTCAATATTTGAAGACGCTTTTGAATTCTAGATATATGTAGAATTAAAAGAATCCTCAAATATCGAAGTTGATCACGTCATTGTCAAGATATATATGTTCAAAAATGTTTATGCGATTTTGTATTCTGTGAACACATGAAAATTTGTAACCATGTAGTACATAATACAGGAGGTTTACCATTTTAAAAATGTATAGATGATTACACTTATGATCTTTTTACACACGAAATTTTGTGGTGCTACGCATGATTTTGGAAAATTTTTATTATATGTGGAAAACTTTTGTTGAGTACTGTATAAAAAATTTTGTTTAGGTATTTCATGAACTACCTATTAAATAAAAATCAAATTAAGAAAAATATCTTTGGAGTTTGTATACAAAGAAAAAAGGTAAGAAAAGTGTTTTTATTAAATAAATAATATTAAAGTTTATTAATATTCTAACAATCTAATTATATAATTAGATTATGCAAACTAAAATTATGAATTCATAGTTTGCTAAATCTAAAAAAATTGTATTATCTAATTATTAAATGTTAAGATTTTGAAGATGTAGCAACTTAGTGAAGTTGGTAAATTGTTACACCTTCAAGTGGCAGAACAAGAGTTCAAATCCTACTGGCAATGAAATTTAAATTTTATAAAATATGTTATGTTAGACTGTATAGAATCTAATAGGTCAGCACTTGTAATTTTGGTTGTATCAGCTTATACTGGGAGGCTGTAGAACATTAGTATAATGCATGAGTTATATGAAAACTGAGTGAAGCAGCTGAGTAAATCTAAAGGTTTGAAATACATGAAAGCTTGCTTTGTAAGTTTGAGTAGAGAGGTAGACAGACTTTCAACAATAT